GAATCTCAACAGGATCTTAAAAGCCTTTGATAGTGATAAAATGTCTACAACATGCCACAAACCTTGCCACATTCTTTGAATTATTCTAGCCATGATTCTCCCTTTTGGCAAATCGGACAAATAATTTCTAAACTTAGGATGTTACACAACAGAAGATGAGAAAGAATTTCCAGCCCCAGTGCCTGGTTCTAAGGCTCCAAATGGGAATTCTTTAACAGCGAGATTCTGGGTTATGTTCCCTTTACTTCTCCATTTACTTAATTTCTCGAAGACTCTGGGCTAAGAGGCACACAGCATTAGAAAGAGACTTCTATTAGTGCTAAACTAGTGCCTGTTTTGCTATTGAAATTAGTGATTAGTTTTCAACTCTGTGGCTTTCTTTAATTTACTAAGAAAAATAGATGGCATTTTCTCTCAAATTTATAAAGATGGCCTACAGGGAAATATCTAATTACCCTAAATATATTTTAAAAGTCCCAAAAGGAGATACAGGAAAACCTTTTGCAAATGGCTCTGTTTGATAGAATAGCTTAATGTGCCTTTGATAAACTCTGGGATCCTCACAATGGTGGGATTTATTAGGAGCTTTCTGTTTGTGCCGCAGAGTCTGAGCCTATGCAGAAACCTGTGGCTGTGAGGGGAAAATAGACCATTTAAATGCAAATCTTTTAATCCAAGAGATTCGTACTCTAAATAGAAGTGGGTCTTTCTGGTGACTCCTGAAGGTAGCAGTACATGGACATTCTTTGCGGATTACTATTCATATTAGGAAATCTAATAACTGGCTTTATTATGTGAGGACACAACATCCTACCACCCATGCATCCGCTAGACTTCCCTTAGTTACTGTTGCTCCTGGTGTGTGGGCTTCCTGGTTGTTAGAAGTTGCAATGGCTCCTTAAATTATAAATCAGGTGCCTACAAAGCTCTAGTTCTGGCTGCATTAAATCGTCTCTAGTAATTACATCCGTATGTATTTTCACGTTACAATGATTAGAAACGTGCTGAAGAAAAGGACCTCAACAAGACAAAATAGTGTATATCGGAGGGGCAACACAGTGTCATAACAACAGTTCCACTGAAACATTCATTCCTGAGCTGCCCTTCCACAGATCACACTGAATATTCACGTTTAATTCCCTTCCCTATGTTGGATGGCATAGTGAACGATTTGAAAGGTATACTTAGAATACAGAAAAACAAAAAAAGGCACCAGAGCTGTTGAGATGGAGAAAAAATGATTTTTCAAATCAATACAGACAATGGGATTGCCAGACCTTTTGAGCGATTCCGTGTAGACTGGAGAAATCAGAGGTGCTTGCTTTCTGCCTTTTGAAGGCTGGGTAGATAGAGCATTATTAATAAATTAAGTGTTTACTCATTAAAACTTTATATTGAGGACTATGTGGAAGGTCTGTAGGAGGTGCCGTGAAGTTTGGGGTGCAAAAGGTCAGAATTCCACCTGGGTAGAAAAAGCCAGCAGGAAAAAGGCTACCAGAGCTTATAGGGCAGAAGCAATATGTCTGTCCCTGTCCCAGCTGGATTGTCATGAGTTTCTAGATCAGAAGTCCTCAAACTGAGCTCTGCACTGGAATTACCCCACCGTTTAAAAATTAAGAGCAGTGCCCTGGACCCATTTCCAGTGATTCTGCCTTTGTCTGTGGGTAGGTCCCAGACTTTAGTGTTTTTCTGCTGAGTTCCTCAGAGATGCTAACCAGCTGCACAGCTGCAAACAGTAACTGAGGAGAGTGGATACCTATTCTATTGATTCTCGTTTGTGACCTTCACCTGTGCAATTATTTGTGGAATACTTGTCCCCCTCCCTCTACCGCATGGTAATGGAGCTCGATCTGTTTCCGCCACAGTGCCCTCCCTCAGGATTGGTCTCTGTGGCGTGGACACTCTGCGCAGTCAGTCGCGCCAGCGGTTCACCCTCACGCACCAGCATCAGTCTACCGAGCAAGGCTCCCTGGGAGCTGCTAGAATACCGTGCAAATTCCTGCCCCATCCCTCACTCTGTCCAGTTTATAGTCTGCGTGGAAAGAAGAAAGGAAGCAAGGGAGGGAAGGAGGCAGGAAAGAAGGAACTTCAAGTCCATACCTGCCAAGGTTATACTCAGTTGTACACCTTATTGCTGATTATGGATGCATAGAATTTCAAGCATCAGTGAATAAATGAAAGACGCATTTGGGTGGCAAAAGACATGTCTGAGCATTCAGGCAACTCTATTAAAAATCTGCCCATTAGCACTTCATGCCCCATCCCCAAGGCTGATCCAACAAGAACTCGTAATATTCTAAATAAGAAACTGATGCTAAAATGCATATGCTCATATTTAACAGGGAAAATAACTTCTGCTAAAGGACGCAGATGATTCATGTTGCACGTGGTATCCCAGGAGAAGCTGATTATTATGAAATAGACTAAAACTCCTTCCCTTTGGAAGACCTAAATAATCATACTTAAGTTATCACTGTCTTCTTAAGGTGTAGGACCGTCCAGGTCATCTTTAGGAAGGATAAATCTGCCCAAATCTGAAGCATTAGATCACTAAGCAGTCAGGGAAAGGCTGGGTAGGGTCAGCATTTGTATCTCTAACTCTTTCATTCGAGGGAGTTTATTTGGCCAAAGTGAACAGCACGGTTCACAGTGAGGCGATGACAAAGAGCATCGTGGACCTGAGTAGATGGACAACAGGAAGTATCACACCAAGTGTCTGCATGTCGTCCAGAACTGGCGATGTAAGCATCTCTGTGGGAGCTACATCTTTTAGAAAAGGATAACTCAAATTTAATTTAAAAGTGAAAATTAAATACAAAGAATGAATTTTCAGAAAATTACACTTGGAATCATAGAATCAGAGGATTTGAGACCTGGAAAAGGCCTTTGGGAAATTATCCCAACTTGGTCAAATTTTCTTTCTATCTTTAGTTAACAGCTTTATTGAGTTCCAATTTTTATATATGATAAAATCCACCTAATTGTCTGACTTGATAATTTTGCTAGATTTAAAGAATTGTATAGTCATCACCATAATTCTGTTTCAGAACCTTTCGATTATCTTGGAGATTGACACATTTACAGACAATCTTAGCTCTCGCTCCCAACCCTAGGTAACCACACTTCCCACATGCTGGCTCCCCAAATATCTTTGTTCTGGATGTTTTATAAATATGGGGTCACACCGCAAGTCGTCCCATGTGTCAGAGTTTCTGTCCCTTGGCATAGCAGCTTTGAGGATCATCCCTGTTGCAGCATATTTAGGAAGCTGGTTTTCTTTTTATCGCTGAATAAGAACTCAGTCGTACCAACTCTTTGAATTTAAAGATGAAGAAACTGACATCAAGTGAGGCTTGATGTCTCAATGACCGTCTCAAATTCCTGCAGCAGGCCTGTGGACCTTGAATTTGGCCTCTCTGGATATGAAATCATGTTCTGACACTGGATGGCACACACGCCCTGACCTCTTCCAAGCTGCTTCTGCTCATGGGTGAGAGAAGTATCAGCGTGCAACCTGTGGGTGACATGGTGTGGGGGACTTCTCACACCCAGTTCAGGGTGAATGTGGCTCAGATAAACCACCGAGCTCGATCCCTGCAGTTTCCCAGCCCCTTGTGTGTAACATTGGTGAGCACGCACCCCCACTCCCCAGCATCGATTTCCTTGGGAAAATATGCACATTTGCTGCAGTGACCACTGCAGAATTCCTTATCTGTTTACTCATCTTTCTCTCCCAACTAGCCCACGAACACTTTGCCCTCCGGGAGCTCTCCAAGGCATGAGTCCAGGGCGGACACACAGGACTCTTTGTCCACACGCATACTTCAACATAACTTTGTTAAGTACAGAAAATCACATACTGTAAGTCTTCTGAGGTCCCCCGGGGAGTGAATGTCAGAGATGAGTAAAGAATTCACATTTCGTTCGTGCCTACATTTGGAACGTTTTAGTGACTAAAGGTGAACTCCATGTTTTATCTTTTCTTCGATATCCAGGAAAGTTAACCAGAGTATTGCACAGTCTCTAAGGAGCCTAATGAAGGCCATCTCTCTCTCTCTAATTAGTCTCATTGGATTTCCATGTTATTAAGAACAACTTGGTGACATGCGCTTGCCCTCTCCCCTGATTTTAATTAAGTCTCATGAACCACAATTTGGTGAATCTGGCCATTCACCTCATTATAAAAAAAGAAAAGACAGATTATCCCAAACCAGGCTTCTAATGAAAATAAAACCCCCTTTTTAAGCCAAGAGTTATTACCTGTTCCTAGATATTAAATACTTGCGAAATAGACAGAAACTATCCATTTCCAAGGACTTATTAATTAAACACTCAATCTCACATCTTTGAACATTACCCATTTTTATTTATATGTTTATATGCTGATCCCATATATAATACATTTAGACTGTTAAAACAGGTGGGCAATGGAGGAGTTGAGATGGTGCCGTGGTGAAGCCCACAGAACCTATCACAATTCCCGTCTTCAAATCCACTCAGGCTGTCTTGCCTTGTTTCTAACCACAGGCATGTGTTACTATATTTGAACTGTCCTCTGCAAAATGAGAGTAATAACACTATCAATCATACTGGGTTGTGGTACAGCCTCAAAGATACATTACAAGTAAAGCATGTATAATAGTTATTGATGCAGTAAATTATTGTATATTATAGCTATTATTGTAGCTATTATTGCATTGAGATTGTGGTGGATTCATGTTCTATTATTACTTTTAGGTATTTTCATAGAGCCTGGAATTTCTGTGAGATATCATATCCCAAATAATCTACCCCTGGTCTGTCAACATTAAAATATTCCAAAATTTCAACCCAGCATGTAATCACTTTTTTTTAAAACAAAAGTTTTTTCTTTCTCTTTTTAAAATTTTATTTATTTTATTTTTAGAGAGAGGGGAAGGGAGGAGAAAGAGAAGATGAGAAACATCAATGTGTGGTTGTCTCTTGTACACCCCCTGCTGGGGAGCTGGCCCCAACCCAGGCATGTGCCCTGACAGGGAATAGAACCTGTGACCCTTTGCTTCACAGTCCCATGCTCAATCTACTGAGCTATACCAGTCAGGCTGCAATCGCTTTTTGAAGAAGATTAAGTAGTTCTCTTACACCCACGTGCCCAGACTTTCAGATCAAAGTATGTGGCATATAAGATATCTGATCTTATTATGCATTGGAGCCTTCAAAACTTTCATATCATGGTATTTCTAATTACTGTAAATGAAAATTGGATACTGTCGTACTATTCCCCAAATACAATTATAATAGCACTAGCATTATCCTGTGTCTTATAATGAAGTTTAACTTCATGAAAAAGTGGCAAATTCAAATGGGAATTCAATACAGATTAGGAAATGCTAAGAGAGAGAGATGGAAAATGGGAAGTTGCTGTTCAATGGGTGTAGAGTTCCAGCTTTTCAATATTTTAAAGTTCTAGAGAGCTGTTACACAGTAGTGTGCATGTATTAATAATAATGTATTGTACACTTAAAATGGTTAAAGTGGTGAATTTTATGTTATATATTTTTTCTACAAAAACATTCATTTTAGTCAAAGGATATCCACTTATACTAAAACTAATACATTGTTATACATATTACAGATTGGAAATTGACTAATTAATTGATTAAATGGAATGCAGATTGTGAAACAGAAATATCCCTAAAGGAACTGTAAGATTTTTATTGCATAAGTTTATATTATCCATATTTTATCTGCTCTCCACTGATACAGAGAATGGACAGCAAAGAGAATACATAGGCATGTTCTCGCATTAGGAATTTTAAAAGTTGAATTATATTTCCCATCTCTGCAGCTCACTTCATGTGGATCTTCGGAAGATTCAGATGGTTATTTTTTTTTCTCCTAAATGCACAACGAAGGATTTGAGCAAGAATGTATGTGGCCAAAGAGCTCTAGCTATGCCCTCATCCGAGTTCTGGGATTCTAGCTTGTTTGTGTCAATCATTCAAACCAGAGACTGTGTGGAAACATATGCCATGCGAACATGCTGTCTCCTCCAGAGCTTATTTAAATGTACTTAAGAGAAATCTGAGAGGCATCACATTGCAAAACACCATAAGGAAGCTCTGGAACTCTCTGTCCAAACCCAAGTCGGATGATGAAGCCCATGCCTCTTTAAGCCCATGCCCGTACCACTCTGTAATTCTTCTCCCTTTCCGAGTTCTCTGTGTCCGCTCCTCCGCACGCTCGTTAATCCAGCTGGAGCACGACTTTCAGCTCAGTCCCCTAGTGATTCACCGGAGGAATAAGGTTCAGAGTGCACAGTCAAGAGTTAGATTTCAACCCAATACAGAAAGCACTTCACAGTAACAAGTGCTTTTCAGCCCTGAATGAGAACTTACTGCAAAGGGAACGGTGAGATGTTCTTTCGGCAGTCCGAGTAAGATGTAAAGGAACCTCTTGGGAAAGGTGAAATGTTTGGAGAGACGTTTCTCTTATCTGGCAAACCATATATTACAACTGGGTGGTTTTCCTCTGGTGAGAACAAGTCGCTTTCACAGGAGGTGGCTGACGCCCTTTAAAGAAAGTCAGAGAGAAAAAAAACAAGGATAACAAACCAGGAAAAAGACACACACACATAAAGCAGCACCATTTTGTCTTCTTGATGCACAAAGCGCACACACACACCCTGTAAATTACTATTGACATGTCAAACACTATGTAATTATGTGCATTTCAAACCTGTCAAACAACTCTTAATCATTCGTCTTTTCATTCACTCTTTGACCTATCACCTATTCAGTCTTTAATCTACCACCAAATCAATTACATGTGAGTTTTGGGGCACCTGCACAGAATTTCAGCTTGCCAAACAAAGATTTGTCCTTGTCCTTGTTGTGTGAGTATTAAGTCATTTAGCTACCTAGAAATAAGCTAATGACTTTAAAACACATTTATAATATGAAATGCCAGAAATTCTGCACACAGTAGGAAACTCACCTCACCCGCCACAGCTGGGGGAATGCAGTCATGCGCATTGTCATTATAAACTAGAGTTCTGTCACTCTGCACAAGTACCCAGAGGTCTTTCATATTTAATAAAGTGATATAATGATTTAGTAACCCTATGAAGAAAAGAATTATAATTTCATGCTGTCTATATTTCCAACAGGACAAAATCCTCTAGTCCGCTACACTGGATTTATGTACAGTGATGCCTTGATTTGGCGTAAAGATGTGTATACACACCTCATCAGAATACGGATCTCAATGAGCATTGCTTTTATTTTCCTGCATACAAACAGGCTGTGGACCCTTCAGCAGGCTCTTTTCTTCCTCTTGTCAAGCTTTCTCTGAGCATCTGTCATTATTTCAACATCTGGAGGGGCAGATAAGCTGATCCAATTGGAACATTGCAGTCAGCAACTTTCTCCAGGAAACTAAATTTGTCACTTCTGCAAAGCATCCATCTTCTGCCAGCTTTTGACTTCCTGTCCTCAGGCCAAACTCGAAAATCAGGCCTCCCGGTTTGTAAGGCTGCTGTGCTAGGGACTAATTCAGCTGTGGAGGAAAGAATGACAAAGGGTGGAAAGATCATGATTAACTGGAATTAATTTCTGGAACAGCAGGAAACCCATCTAAATATGATATAAAGATTTAATCTTAACCTGATGTCTCTCCAGCCATTACCCATGGCTTCCTTCTTAAAGAAATATTGAATGTTACTCTGCATTTCTGTCTGACAATAGCTTGTACTATTGTACAAGGTCCCATTTTCAGATTAACCAGAAAATTAACAAGTGCTCATTTCAAGTTTGACGTGAAATAAATTCACAAGTCTCCCTCCCTATTCTAATCATTTTATTAAAGTGGCAGCAAACCTGCACAAACATAAAATTATTTGTAAAGGCAAATCTGATCAGATTCTTTCTCTGATTCAAACTGGTCACCAATTTCCTTTTTCCAGGGTGTATCTTGATGCTTTTATGACTGGGTCAAGGTGAATTGTCTTCTGGCTCTGGCTTCATTCTCCAGTCTAGCCTTCTGTTCCGTTCTACCCTCTGCCATGCCTTCTTGCCAAGGTGCCTGGTATTCCCATTTCTGGGATGCCTCCACTGTCCAGATGGGAGCTTTGCAAAATCAGTGGGTATTCCCATCAGCAAGGAGTCTTCTTAAAATGCAGGTTTGGATTCAACCATTCTGAATGGAGCCTAAGACTCTGCATCCATAACAAGCTCCCCGGAGATGCTAATGATGTTGAGGTCTACAGGACAAAGTGAGTAGCAAGGTTTTGGAGCACTAGTTCTTTGAGAACCTGGGGGAGGTGGTGATTTGGCTCCCCACATCAATTTGGGAAAAATCTGGAGACGTTGTATTTGTCATACCTTGGGGGCACTAACTGGCATCTAGTCGAAAAAGGCCATGGATATCACGAAACATTCTACAATGCCCAGGGCTGCCTACCATGGCAGAGGCTGATTCAAGCCAAAATGTCAATAGTACAAAGCTGGAACACCCTGACTAGGGGGCTTCTAGTCTTTAGGAGCAAGCTCAGTCATCACATCATTTCTGAACAAGTCCCTAAACTCACCTAAACAACCCCGGTCACTTCTGGCTCGTCCTGCCCATCGGACCCCCACTCCCAATTCACTCACACACCAAACGGAGTGTGCACATGGTGAATCTGCTGTGTTATCAGTTACTTCTCTGCATGCTTAATTGTTTAATTTCCCTTTAATTTGTAAGCATCTTGAACATTATTATATTTGTGCCACAGTATACAGCATCTATCTTGTTGCAGACATAGGACACTTTTCTATGTGATTCACATAAGATGTAAAAGAAAAATGTGATCATTCCAAATGGCAAAATTTAATTTAGCAATCAGAAAATAAAGGGTAAAACAACAGGTTGCCATTTTGTCCCCCAGGTCAATATAGCAGAAGAATGTTCTGCTCTGATAAGAGCTGAGGAAAATGAATTGCTAATAGGAATGTGACTGGTGCATATTACTCAGAGATAAATTGCAGACAGTCTTAAAAACATACATATTTTGGATTCATCTCTAATGGGTCACTTTTCACTGGTTGACTTGAAGTCTGATCAGTCTATGTATGAGAGAGGAGAAATTCTACCCATGGCCTTATGATAGAATTCAAGGTGCTGTGAAATCAGAAGGGGAAAGATATACCTCACTGCACATTTTCTGTTTAAGTGGAAAACAGGCCACAGTGTCATTAATATAGTTTGTCACTTGTGGCTACCACAAATACCTTATTATGGTGTTTCAAATATATTACAATATTATTTATAACATGCTAATTAAATTTACAATACTTGAGAAATGTTATTTAGCCCTGGCTGGCGTAGCTCAGTGGATTGAGCATGAGCTGCGAACCAGGCATCACAGGTTCGATTCCCAGTCAGGGCTCATGCCTGGGTTGCAGGCCATGGCCCCCAGCAACCGCGCATTGATGTCTCTGTCTCTGTCTCTGTCTCTGTCTCTCTCTCTCTCTCTCTCTTTCTCTCTCTCTTTCTCCCTCCCTTCCCTCTCTAAAGATAAATAAATAAATAAATCTTAAAAAAGAAATGTTATTTAATGTGTTAATGTGGAAGACCCTATATTCCTATGTCAGAATTGAAATTTTGATCATTGTATTTCAACATAATCAACTTTCTTTGTAATCCTGTTTCTTTATTTAAAAATATTATTCTAGGAGTTGATCTTTTAGCTGCCTGGAGCATCAAAATAAAAAAGTTAGGACTGAAAACACTTAACCCAGTTCTCAACACTCCACTTCAAACTCTATCAGTTTGACCGGTTCACACGCAGGGTGGGGCAAAAGTCGGGTTAGAGTCATGAGCATGCAAAACACAGAGTTTATTCTTCTGTTATTATCATTAATTATTGTATTATTTCCCATACGGACAACTATCAACCTACTTTTGCTCTACCCTGTCTAAGGGAGCAATATTGCAGGACAATACTTTCACCGTAGAACTTGATGAAAATTCCTTACTATTGGATATTCAGAAAACCCTGAGCAATGTCTACAATGAAGAAATACAAATGAAGTACATAACATGGTATATTGGTTTTCTACTGCTGCATGCAGAGTTCACCCAGATTTGCTGGCTTGAACCAACACACATTTATGTCTTACAGTTCTGTACGTCTGAAGTCAGATGCAAATGTCATCAGGCTAACTTCAAGGTGTGAGCAAGCTGTGTTTTTTCTTGGAGACTCTATGGGAGAATCTGGTTCCTGCTTCTTAGGTTTCGGCATCATTCAGTTCCCTGGGGTTCCAGGCACCAGGTCCCTGTTTTGCTTTCTGCGTATGAGGTGAAAGCTGTTTCTCACTGTCCTTGGCTGACGGCCCCTTCCTCCGGCTTCAGATCCACCAGCAGGGAGCCTGGCCTTTCTCATGTCATGCCCCTCTTCTGCCATCATCTCCTAGTTTAGGGACTCATGCGATCAGGATAAATCTCCCTGTCTCATGATCTGAAACCTTAAGCTCACCTGAAAAATCTCTTTGCCATGTAAGGTAATATATCTACATGCACTGGGGGTGAGGGTGTGGCCGTGCCTGGGGGATCATTAGTCTGTCTGTAATACGCACCCTGATTGGAGGCACCTACCTTCAAGCAGCTTACTCTGTTTTATACATTTTTTTCATAGGCTAACGAGAGCAAAACAGCCTGGCGCAACTAGCCCAGGTGTCTAGAAATATTTCGCCAAGACTAGAGACACTCTTTGTCTTTAAACGCCATGAATGCCTCATAATTATTAAGTGAAAGGACCTGAATCATATGCCAGCCAATGAAAATTACATTAACTTTATTATTTATTAGTGTAATATTTAGAGAGCTATTGTAATCAGCTCCAATGTAATATTCTTAGCAAAGGGAATTTCAAATACAAGGAGTCAAAATGGTCAGAATTATCACCCTGAATCACTGTTTTCTCTGTGAGGTAAACTGAGGAAAGCCGTGTAGTGGGTTAGGGTTAGAGCGATGTTTACCTGTCGTGCTCTGTGAGGAGAGAGGACGGGCCTGGGGCCACAACCCCACTCACTAGACTTACGCACAGAGTGGTCCGACAGTCCTATGTACTTTGTGCAAATTGTCCACTTAATTTTCTACCATTTCTTTGGCTAATAAATGCATTAACACTGAAAAAGTGTGTTTACATTAATTAGTTCACACTTTCTTGAGAGAGCATTACCCCGTGAAGCTGTCCAGCCACCTACCCTGCACAGAGATAATTTATTCATAAACACTTTTTGGACATTAATCCATGGGTATGTGTAATTTTATCACTCTCAATATCGTTTGCATATTGTGCTTTTTAAAATACCATGACATTTATGTGCAATGTGATCACATGACCTTTTCAGAAGATAAATTCTGGAAATTACCTGATGAAAGGATTTATTTTTTTTTATTTTGGACTGTATAGAAACACTCCTCTGTAAGTAAAGTGATCAAAGAACATTTAGTTAAACAGTGAATTAACCTTCTCAAAAATTATCTATGTTTATGGAGTGAAGATTATCCAAGGAATTTAGAGACACAAATCCACTGAATATGTAGGATATATAAACTTATGCTATTCATAAAACCCTAATTTTTACAATCTTGCCCTATCTAACATGACAAAACAGATTATTCATAAAGTTATGTCTTTAGCATATTTGAGTCAGACTGTACACAGGCCACAGCTTAAAAGGGAAAACAAAAGCAAAAACCTGTCAGGACAGAGATACTCGATTTGTAGAAGAGCCAGCTCCTTCTGGGGGAACCACAGGTAAAAGGAGAAAATGAAATAAAATACTAGATACAAAAAGGGAATGCCAAAAGCGGTTCATGACTTCTTGGAAAAACAAAACAGAACAAAACAGAAAACCTTTAGCCGCTGTTCAAATCATTCTCTCTGCCTTTGCTGCTTTTCAAACCAGCAAAGAGAATAGGTAAAGGATCTTTGGAATTGTGAGCAAGTTTCACTAATGAGCCTCCTGATGCTGTCCCAGTGATGGGCCTGCAGAATTCCATCAATAAAACATTAAGATAAAGTACCCAGAGCCCTTAAGGTAGCAGCCAATTCTCATTCCAGGGACTTGCATTTTGTGTCAATTAAAGAGTAAACTTCAAGAGATGAATTGACTTTGCTCCGGCTGGCCGGACCCCTCCGGCAAACATTAGCACAACAATCACCGTCATACATTTTGCACTCTCAGGGCCCTGAGAAATGATGCGCTCTCAGGTCTCATCGGTATACTGTTGTTCTAATTTACCCACCAAGATTTGGATTTCAGTCCCAGGTCAGCGTGTTGGAGAGTGAAATGGAGGCACAGGAACAAGCTTTTTTTCAAACCTGTAGTGTTTTCTGTATTTATAACTGCACCTTGTAACTCTTTTTGGCTTCCATTGGGAGAATTTCAAGGCAACTCTGTGAGGTGAGATAAGGATTTTCTTATTTATGAGACTAATGCTCCTATAAATAAATTTGGATTCTGGGTGCCTTCTGGGGCAACTCTTTCTCCTTGGTCCTTGAATTCCAG